TGCCAAAACTAAACGATACCCTAGGACAACTAAACAGGACCCGACCAAACTAAACGGGACCCCAGGACAACTAAGCAGGACCCTACCAAAAACTAAACGAGACCTGTAGGACAACTAAGCAGGACCATACCAAAACTAAACGAGACCCTAGGAAAACTAAACAGGACCCTACCACAAGTAAACGGGACCCTAGGGAAACTAAACAGTACCCTAGCAAAAGTAAATGAAACCATAGGAAAACTAAACAGGACCCGACCAACATTAAACGAGACACTAGGAAAACTACTCAGGACCCTACCACAACTAATCGAGATCCTAGGACAACTAAACAGGACCCTAGCACAACTAAACGAGACCCAAGGAAAACTAAAGAGGACCCTCGCAACAGTAAACGAGACCCTCGGAAAACTAAGCAGGACCTTGCCAAAACTAAACGAGACCTTAACTGTTGAGGGCCCAGCTGTTGAGTAAGTGGGCGGCGGTCAGTCTTTTTTCTTTGTGGTGTCGGGTGGGTGACTGATTGAGTCTTCGCTCTTGCTAAGGCGATAGGGTGCCCTCCACTATTTTTGCACTGCGCGCTGGGGCCCAGCTGCTGCTCGCACTGATGGCCGGTCGTTCCTGGCCGAACCTAGGCCTTGCCTAGGCCTCTGGCGTGGCCGAGTCACTGCCTCTGGCGTGCGGCTGCCTCTGGCGCCTTCTGAGGCCAAGGCGGCGTCGCGGCAGCTGGCGCCGCGACACTGGCGAGCGGAAAAACGTCGTCGTCACCGCCGCCATCGTAGCAGGCGCCATCATGACAACCCACATCATCAGCACAATCAGCGACATCATGACCACCGACATCATGGCCATCGTCATCATGACCCCTGACATCATGACCACCGACATCTTGACCATCGTCATCATGACCGCCGACATCATCTCAATCCTCAGTTTCGCTCCCGCCGCCCTCATCGACCACCGACCATGGTCGTGTTCGTCGTGCTGTAGTAGTCGCCATCATCACCACCGACCATGGTCGTGTTTAGTTTTTTCTCCTGGGTCGCGTTTAGTCTCCCACTGCTGGGTCGTCCTGGACGGCGCCAAGGGGGGGCCGAGCATGCTCTGCCCCGGCCTGCTGAAGGCATGATGACGAAAATGAAGATGATGATGATGGCGATGCTGATCGTGATGATGGTGATGATGATGCCGACGGTGACATACATATAAGACCCTAGGAAGTGACGAGATGGTGAGGACGACGCTGACGATGCTGACGAGGAAAACTAGACGAGACCCTCGGACAACTAAACAGGACCCTCGCAAAATTAAGCAAGACCCTAGGTAAACTAGACAAGACCATAGGACAACTAAACGAGACCCTAGGACAACTAAACATGACCCCAGGAAAACTAGACAAGACCCTCGGACAACTAAACATGACCCTACCAAAACTAAACGAGACCGTCGGAGAACTAAAGAGGACCTCGCAAAACTAAGCGAGACCCTAGGAAAACTAAACAGGACCCTAGCAAAACTAAACGAAGGGGTGAATCAAGGGGCGCCAGCGGATGGGCTTACCGAAAGGGTGAATCAGGTGGGGCGGGATGGTGGGGCGCTGGTTTCGGTCGCCGAACCAGAAGGCCTGCCCGCTCCGCTTGATTCCACCTTTCGGTTGGCCCAGAGCCCAGCGCGTCGGCGTGTGGGTACTGTGTGCCGTCTGCGATCCAGCCGAGGAGTTGCAGGACAAGCTGATCACTTGGTGTCGAGCTTCCTGCAACGAGGTTGCAGGCGTGGTGGATCGCTTCGACAAGGAAGCAGGCCAACCAGAAGCAGCAGCAGCAGAAGAAGGCCGAGGCGGGCGAGGAATCCAGGGAGAAGGAGGCAGCAGAGGCCAAGGCGAGAGCGGCGCTCATAATGGAATCCAGGGCCATGCCCACGCTTCTGTTCGACGCGACCAACGCCATCATCAAGCCAGTGAACGCGTATGACGACGAGGTTGCCTACAACAAAGCTCTGTCGGAGAACGCGGTCAAAGCCGCTGATCCTTTCATCGTCGAGGCGTCCGCGACGTTGTCGGACCTGAGCGGCCAGCGCAGCGTCAGGGCAGCGATGGGCGCGTTTCGCATCCAGCTCCCAGGGTCGGTGATGTTCAAGACCGGGAAGCGCGGATGCGGGCCTTGTCGCGCCGATAAGGCGGCCGACATGAGGGCGGCGCTGGCTGCTTTCACCCATGGCCTCGTCGAGGCCCCCCAGAGCAGGGACAACGCGCTGCTGAGCAAGACGTTCAAGCAGCTCCTCATGTTCGGCCAGGACACTGCCCACACGAACTGCTCGCTGGAGCGGCAAGGGCTGGCCGCAGTGCGCTACCAAGTCACGGGCGCGAGGCAGATCTGTGTCTTCACAGGACCTTGCTCGACTACTCGGTCCTGGCGAACGCCGTGCGCGGAGAGAAGGATGACCTCTTCGAGTCGCTGACCGATCTCATCCGTGGGATCCAGGTGGAGGAGCAGCTGAACATGGTCAAGTCGACGATCTGGAGGGCAACTGTCCCACAGGGATCGTTCGTGTACATCCCTGTGGGGTCATTCGTGCTGGAGCGCAGCGTCGGCGACAACCTCGTCACGGGCTTCAGGGTCAGTGTCGTGACTATCGACGCGGAGGTGCTCGACAGCTTCAAGGGGACGACGCAGGCTTACGGTAACCTTGGGGCCCCGCTGACGAAGTTCCTCGACGAGGTGACGAAGGTCGCCGCGGCGGCGATCGACGAGTCGAAGAAAGCTGTCGGCGGCGAGGGCGCAGGGCAGAAGAAGCAGTGGGCGGCCTGAGGAGGAGGGGTCGTCGATGCTCGACGCCAGGGGTGCTGGGGCCAGTGGCGCAACGAGTTTGAACATTGGGGTTGTATTTCTTGACCTGTGTTTGCACAGGTGTTGTTGTGGAAACATGGAGAAATAATGGTGGAAACACGTATGGTTGGACAATGCGGTGGAACAAGTATGGTGGAACTTTACAGCCTCTGCCCCGTATCCGCCCGCTCCCCCCATCCAATAGCTTCCCACCCTTCATGCCCTGCCCCGCCTGCAATCATTCGCCATTGTGGTGCAAAACTCAGGCTCCTTCATACATGCTGGTTTCTACACGGTGAACTCTTCCACGCGTGGCCATGTCTGCGCAGCCCAGGACTCCCCTGTATCCACCGCCGCCATCGCCGCCGCCGCAGTCGGGGAACAGCGGTTTCGGCTACTACCCCTTGCCGAGGACCGCGTCGGACAGGCTGCGTGCAGGCCCAGAGCTGGAGCTGGCCCAGGAGACGCCGCCGCCCGCAGATGCAATGGTGACGGTGGTGGAGGACAGCTTGAGCGACGCCGAAGGCCCTGCGCATGAAGCCTCATGGCGCGAGGCCGATGTTCTGTTTCGAGCGACGCGGGGGGCGGGAGGCGGTGCGCGCAACCGGACGCGATGATTGCAGGAACTGTCCGGACGGACAGCCTGTGGCATTCTAGCGCGCCTCAGCGTGCCAGGAGACGCGGTTGTGGAGATGCCTGCCCGCCAGGACAGCGGCTGACCGACCCCATCCGAGTCCTGCGCCCAACAGAACCCGGCCCCCAACCCGCCAGGCGGGGGGGGGGCGAGTTGCCAGGAAGCCCCTCAGGGTGTTCCGAGGACGAGGTTGCGCAGCTCTCCCAGCTTTCTCTGAGATAGCTTCTGGAACCCGCGGATGTGGGCATGAGTGTAAATAAGTGCCAGGGCGAGTGCGAGTGCGACCAGGAGTACGGGGCCTTGAAGAAGGAACACTTTTCGTTGGGGAGGGGCTCGGTGTTCCTTGATTGTTTCAAAGTTTGCCTCGGGCAGGAGTGCACCAAGGCGGCGTCGGCCTGGCCCCCGCGGGGCCAGCAGCGGAGTGGAGAGGGTCGTGGACCCGGGCAGGACTGGAGGACTTGGAGAGCCCTCCTCAGATCGACCCACGCTCGGATTTATTATTATTATTATCATTATAATTATCAGTATCATTAGTATCATTATTATTATTACACTTATCATCATTAATGTGTTTATTATTTATTATTATTGTTATTATTATTATTATTATTATTATTATTATCATCATTATTATTATTATCATTATTAGTATTCGTAGTATAATTCTTATTGCTAGTATTATTAGTATAATTGTTGTTATTCTATATGTATATATATATATATATATATATATATATATATATATATTATATATCTACAGGCAGGCGCACCTCCAAGCATCGGTCCAATAGCGATCCGGATGCTTTTGCCAACGCGTCTTACAGATGCACGGCTTCTGACCTGACCTGGGGGGTCTGAGGACCCCCTCCCTGTTGTTGTCTCCCTCTCGCCCGCGCTACCGCGCATTACACCAAAGACTCAGCGGTGAGCCCAGGGGGGGGAAGCGGGAGGTTACCAGCTTCGAACGTATCCCTATCCCTAAGATTGACACGCCAAAGGCGATGACAATCTTAGGGATTCGCCCTCAAAAAATAAGGCAATCCTTAAGATTGGCCTCGTGATTAGGAGGTGCCCAGCATAGCGATAGGGATATGTTCCAGGCTGGTAAGGAGGGGCCAGGCGTTCTCCGAGGGCGGCGGGGCCGCTCATGAGCTCTCGCGCTCTCCGGGCAGCCCTGTGAGCGCTCTCCTCCGCAGCCGCAGACGGCCTCTCCGGAGGCGCGAGGGCCTCTGAGAAGTCCCGCCGCCCTCTTGAGAAGGCCTGCTCCTCTCCCCCTCCTCCTCCTCCTCCTCCTCCTCCTCCTCTCCTCCTCCTCCTCCTCCTCCTCCTCCTCCTTCCTCCCCCTCTCCTCCTCCTCCTCCTCTTCCTCTCCCTCCCTCTTCCTCTTCCTCCTCCTCCGCCTCCTCCTCCTCCTCCTCCTCCTCCTCCTTTCCTCCTCCTCCTCCCCTGGGCTCGCCGCCGGAAGACGTCGAGCGGGCACGCGACGCACGGGGAGGACGAGCCCCAGGTGGCGGCAGCGGCGGCAGCGGACTGCCCCCCGGCAGGCCGCCGAGCTGCTGTCCGCCCTCGCGGCGAAGACGCACAACCCGCGCATCGCGACGCTGGCCGTGCGCGCGAAGCTGGACGCGTCCGGGCCTCGGGAGCTGGCCTCCTCCTCCTCCTCCTCCTCCTCGTCCTCCTCCTCCTCCTCCTCCGCCTCCTTCTCCGCCTCCTCCTCCTCGGCATTTGCCTAGGGACAAGGGGGCCTGTCTCGTCGTTTCTCGGACCTCCTGGGGGCCTCTCGTCGCTGCGGCTGGACGCGGCTCGAAAGAGTTGCGCGTCTTGACCCTGGGAAGGGTCGGGGACCGGCTTTTTGAGCGAGTTTGCCCTCACCGCTCCCTCTTGATCGATTTTCTTTGGGCTTCTCCAGCTGAGACCCCGGGGTCGCCTCCCACTGCTTGTATCCTTACTGCAAGGCGTGCTGACCTGTGTCTGGCGTTCAGGGACCTCGTCGGGTTTGCTGCGTCTCGGCTTCTGCTGCTGAGGTTTACGCGCGTCAAGAAGGCCATCGACGACATGATCGCGCAGCTCCAGGAGGAAAAGGCTGCAGAGATCAAGCACAAGGAGCTGTATGCCCCTGCGCCGCCTCGCAAAGCCAGGCGCGGTAGGTAGGTAGGACGAGGGACGGGCTGAAATGAGAGGGCGCGGCAGAGTGGCCAGAAGAAAGGGCTGGCAGAGGGATGGTGCAAGGGATGAAGGGGGGGGACGAGAAGCAGGAGGAAGGTCAGCAGGAGAACGCGGAGGGCGAGGATGAGTACGAGGAGCAGGAGGAGCAGGAGGATGAGCAGGAGGAGGAGGAGGAGGAGGAGGAGGACCAGTGTAAACCCAAGAGTCATCAACGATTTTGGAATTCACCCTCCCTCCAAGCTTCTTCTTCATAGGCCCCTACAACGGTTCACTTCCATTGAGGGAACTGCCTCGTTGGAAGACAACCGTCTGAAGATCTTGAAGCATGCCAAAACAATGTTCTCGGGAATTCAACGCCACGGATCACCCTGACTGCTGCGTCTTGACGATCCAGAATCGTGCCAGAACTCCATTTGTGGGATTTCAACACCGCGAATCAACATAACTGGGGTACCCGCATAATCCTGAATCCTTCCAAAACACTATTTCTGGTACGTTGATCACGGGAATCCGTGAAACTCTTGCAACTGTGCGCGGCGCTAAGGCGAGAGCCACATTTTGAAAAGGAACGGCCCTCAATCCGGGAAGCTCCTGCAATTTTTCAAAACGGATGTGCGCGGCGCTAAGGCGAGAGCCACATTTTGAAAAGGACCCGCCCTCAACCCGTGAAGCTCTGACAATTTGTTACAACGAATGTGCACGGCGCTAAGGCGAGAGCAACTTTTTGAAAACCACCTACCCTCAATCCGTGAAACTTTTGCAACTGTTTAAAACGAATGTGCGCGGCGCTAAGGCGAGAGTCACTTTTTGAAAAGGAATCGCCCTCAATCCGTGAAGCTCTTGATTCCTGTTACAATGAATTTGCACGGCGCTAAGGTGAGAGCCACATTTTGAAAACGACCCGCCCTCAATCCGTGAAGCGCTTGCATTTTTTTGCAACGAATGTGCGAGGCGTTAAGGCGAGAGTCACATTTGGAAAACGACTCACTCTTTAAGCTTCAGAGTTGTTAGTGGTGAGGACGACTCTGGCGAAACGCCCGACCCGCCCTAAAAACTGACCTCAGGGTGCGACAGGGAGACGTTATTTATAATGGAAAGGGATGGAGGAGGAGGCGGAGGGTGAGGAGGAGGAAGCCATAACACAACGTCGTGGCCGAGCGGCGCGATCGTGATTTTCCACCGCTCACCGCTGCGTGCTGCGGTCTCTTCCGTCGCTTTATGGACGAGTGCGGGGATTGATCTTTTCATGTGCAGGGAGGAGGACCAGGAGGAGAGGCTCCCGAGGCTTCGTGTCCGTGCGCTCAGTCTTCCTGTTCGTTCGCCCATCGTCAGGCAAGAGACGAGAGACGAGAGACGAACACAACAGGCAGCACAAACAACGCAAGACAGCAGTCGAACAGAAGACTTCACACCCTGGCGCCCCCGGGGGGGCCAGCGGATAAGTTTCACTGTCGGTCGTCGACCTGGCCGGGCTTCTGGCAAGCAATGCTTGCAGCCTGTACGCGTGCCGCACATCGCACTCCTCGGACCTCGCGGCCCCTGCGCGACAGGACTTCTGTGTCGACGAGTTCAACCAGAACCAGCTCCAGACCGAGAAGAAGGAGCGGGACAAGGAGGACCTGCTCGCCAAGATCGAGGGGCTGGACCCCAGCGCCGCCTGCCATGCTGCCGCGCCGCTGCTCCACGCCGGCCTGCGGCTCCGTGTGCCCGCCCTGGGGAGGAGCAGAAGGAGCAGGAGGAGGAGGAGGAGGAGGAGGAGGAGGAGGAGGACAACAAGGAGGAGGAGGAGGAGGAGGAGGAGGAGGAGGAGGAGGAGGAGGAGGAGGTGGAGGGGCAGATCGAGATATACGTGGGGGGCGCTGAGGCAGCGCAGTTAGGTTGCGTCCGATGCTGCCTCTGTCCTTGGTTCGTTGATTCTCTTAGAAATGCCAGAACAGTTGAGCAGTTGAGGGTGCAGACAGTCGGCATCCACTGGAAATGCATCGTCTTGGTTTTGGGTGCCTTCCTGACACATTGTGAAGATTTTGGACGGAGTTCTGGTGTGTTCGGGCTTCGGGAGTTTTCAGTACATGTCTCTCGCGCCCCACCCCGTTCTGGGGATCCCTGTCAGCCTTGGGCTCCTCCCTCTGTTGTAGTTCGTAGTCCTCCCGTCCCTTATTTTTTCCAACCAACCTGTGGTGTTGGGTCCTCGTTTTGAAGAGACAGCGCCCCGCGTTCCTTCCTCCTTCTCCCGCTCCTGCCTCCTCCAGTCCCTGCCTCTGCCCTCCGCATGTCTGTGTTGCGGCACGCCCAGTGCAGCGTTTCGTGGCCCCGTAGTCAGCTCCACCGAAGGCCCCAGCGGCAGGGTCCACATGGCGGTGCCGCTTCTTTGTGGCGCACCCTTCGCACTGTTCGTAGCCCCTGAGGGAGTAGCCTTAGTGGCAGGGTCCACATGGCAGTGCCGCCCTATTTTGGCGTACCCCTCACACGGTTCGAAGGAGCTCCACCGAAGGCTACAGTGTCAGGGTCCACATGGCGGTGCCGCCCCAACTTGGGCACCCTTCACACGATTCTTGGTCCCATAGGGATCTCAGCCGAAGGCCGCAGTGGCAGGGTCCACATGGCGGCGCCGCGCCGTTTTTGGCGCACCCTTCACACGGTTCGTGGCCTCATAGGGATTTGAGCCCTACGCCCCAGAGGCAGGGTCCACATGGCAGCGCCGCTCTATTTTGGCGCACCCCTCACACGGTTCGCGTAGCCCCATAAGTCGGGAGTTTCACTGAAGGCCCCATTGGCAGGGTCCACACGGCGGCGCCGCCCGTTTTTGGCGTACCCCGTCAAACGGTTCGTGGCCCCATGGGATCGGGAGCTCTACCGAAGGGAAGGCCTTCGTGGTGGGGTCCACGTGGCAGTGCCGCCCGTTTTTGGCGCACCCCTCACAAGGTTCTTGGTCCCATAGGGATCTCAGCCGAAGACCGCAGTGGCAGGGTCCACATGGCGGCGCCGCCCCTTTTTGGCGCACCCCTCAAACGGTTCGTGATCCCATAGGGAGTCCACCGAAGGCTCCAGTGGCGCGGTTCGCATGAAGGTGCCGCCCCATCGTGGCGCACCCCTCACATGCTTCGTTGCCCCATAGGGAGCTCTACCGAAAGCGTTGCCAGAACATGGTATTCTAATTTGCATATGGTTGGGTCTTTCGCTTCGTATCGTGCCAGCGGTGATATTCCATGCGGGGTCGCTAGTAAATCCTGTAGGTGTTTTCGATTCGACGATTCGACGTGCTTGTCATGCATGGGTTGTGGTCTGGGCGGGGCGCGGATTTATTTTTCTATTGTGAAGGCCCTACGGCCAGTGCCGCCGACCCTGGAAGAAGATTTCCATGATGAGGGTGACAGCCAGAGTTGGTTGGGACAAGACGCCCCGAAGAGTTCCTCTGAAGCCCCAACAGGTCCCCAAGAAGCGTATGACGAGGAGCCCAGCTTGGCCGAGCTATCTGCCTATGTGCTTTCGCAGCCGCTGGGAGAGGAAGATGGGGAAGTCAGGAGAGGGAGGATGAAACGGAGGAGGAGGAGGAGGAGGAGGAGGAGGAGGAGGAGGAGGAGGATGAAACGGAGGAGGGGGAGGAGGAGGAGGAGGAGGAGGAGGAGGATGAGGAGAAGGAGGAGGAGGAGGAGGTGGATGATGAGGAGGAGGAGGAGGACGAGGAGGACGAGGAGGACAACTAGGAGGAGGAGGAGAGGGAGGAGGAGGAGGAGGAGGAGGAGGAGGAGGAGGAGGAGGAGGAGGAGGAGGAGGAGGAGGAGGAGGAGGAGGACGAGGAGGACAACAAGGAGGAGGAGGAGGAGGAGGAGGAGGAGGAGGAGGAGGAGATCTCTTCGGAGCCTGTTCGGGGCTCTGGGAGCCCCGTCAGGCTTCATGGCGGCCTTTTGCCGCCATCCGGGATCGCCTTGGAGGTTTTGAGGCCATCTTAGGTCAGACGGGGCCATCTTCGCCGTTTTTGAATACATCTTGTATCGTCTTGTCGGCAATGCAGCGCCATCCTGACCATCTGGAAGTCGAGCCTGGTCGTCTCTTGGAGAATTCTGTGAGAGTCCTCTGGGGCTCTCTTGTGGCGTTTGGGCGATTTCAAGCCCATCTTGGATTTGGTGGTCCACGGTCCATTACGCCACCGTGCCTTGGTATGACACTGTTGGGACCTTCGGGGAACCCTCTTGGAGCTCTCTCGGAGCTCTCTTGAAGGCTTTTTGGAGTTCCCTCCGGTCTCTCTGAGAGTTCCAAAACGCTTGAAGAGATGCCTCAAAGGGCACCAAGAGGATTGAAAAGGCGGGCCCAATGGGGCCCTCGAAACAGCCCGTATTTCATGGGGCGCTCGGGCGATTTCAGGCCCCTCTTGGATTATCGAAGACGCCTACGGCGAATCACCGCCGCCCCCTGCCTGTTGGAGTCGCCCATGTGGCCGAGCGTTGTGGCAAGACCTCTGCCAAGCTATCGGACCATGTCTTCCCCCAGCCGTTGTGAAAATCCTTCGGGGAACACTTGGGGAAGGATGGCGGGGAAGATCAGGAGGAGGAGGAGGAGGAGGAGGAACAAGGAGGGGGCATCTTGGGGGCCTCACGGGGCACTCTGGGGCCTCCTGGGAGCCTCCTGGGAGCCTCTTGGAGGCATCTTGGGGGCCTCCTTGGGCCTCTTGGGGGCCTTGGAGAGCTTCTCGATAACCTCTTTGGCTGTCTTATGTCCTGGCCCGTCTGGCGCCGTCGGAAGCCGTCTTGTGCGCCTCTGTGGGCCGACTTGGGGCCCTCTTGGGGTGCTCCAGGGCCGTCTTGGAGGCCATCTTGGGCGTCTTGGAGGCCTCTTGGGCCGTCCTGGGGCTCCCTCGGGCAGTCTTGGAGGCTTCTTGGGCCGTTCTGGGGCTGCCTTGGAGGCCTCTTGGGCGATCGTGGGGCGATCTTTGGGGGCTCTTGGGCCGTCTCGGGCCATCAGAAGGCCGAAAAGAAGCAAATCCTACACCGTAAAAAATCCAGACGTGCCGCGCTAGGCTCGTTGTGTTTTGAGGGCGGGTGGGAATGAGCGGGACAGCTAAAGGCTCTCCTCCTGGGAACTTGGCACGCACCCGCATCCCCACCGTCGTCCCCTCGCCTCGTTTGTGAGTGAATTGCGGGGAAGTCTCAGGCGGGAGCCCCCCTCCCTATGGGGCCCGCAGCTCATGTTATCCGTAAGGGCTTCGCCCCCTGCCGCCGGCCCCCTCTCTCGGAGAATGAGCCATGGAAGAGCGAAGTCATGAGGCTTTGGTTTTGCCGTGAAGCAGTGTCAGGACCTATTTGTTTTTCGACCCCCCTCCCTATGAGGCCCGCAGCTCATGTTATTAATCCCAGCGGGTGATCGGAACCTTGTAACCGTCGTCACTTTCGGGCTCTTCAAGCTTGAGTATGGCGGAAGTCTGATGCGGGAGCCTCGTCTGTGAGTGAATTGCAGGGTGGTCTCAGGCGGGAGCCCCCCTCACTATGAGGCCCGCAGCTCATGTTATTAATCAGAGCGGGTCATCGGAATCTTGTAACTGTCGTCGCGCTTGGGCTTTTCAAGCTTGAGTATGGCGGAAGTCTGATGCGTGAGCTTCGTCTGTGAGTGAATTGCAGGGTGGTCTCAGGCGGGAGCACCCCCCCTTTGGGACCCGGAGCTCATGTTATTAATTTGATCGCGTCATCGGAATCTTGTAACCGTCGTCATGTTTGGCCTTTTCAAGTTTTGGTATGGCGGAAATCTGATGCGGAAGCCTCGTCTGTGAGTGAATTGCGAGGAAGTCTCAGGCGGGAGCCCCCCTCCCTATGGGGCCCGCAGCTCCTGTTACTAATCCGAGCGGGTCATCGGAATCTTGCAATTGTCGTCCATTTCGGGCTCTTCCAGCTTGAGTATGGCGGAAGTCTGATGCGGTAGCCTCGTCTGTGAATGAATTGCAGGGTGGTCTCAGGCGGGAGCCCCCCCCTTTGCGGCCAGCAGCTCATGTTATTAATTTGATCGCGTCATCGGAATCCTGTAATTGTCGTCATGTTTGGCCTTTTCAAGCTTGGGTATGGCAGAATTCTGATGCGGAAGCCTCGTCTGTGAGTGAATCGCGAGGAAGTCTCAGTCGGGAGCCCCCCCCGCAGCTCCTGTTACTAATCCCAGCGGGTCATCGGAATCTGGTAATTGTCGTCCATGTCGGGTTCTTCCAGCTTGAGTACGGCGGAAGTCTGATGCGGGAGCCTCGTCTGTGAGTGACTTGCGGGGAACTTTCTGGCGGGAGCCCCCCCCTATGGGGCCCGCGGCTCATGTTATTACGCTCCCTGGGGCTGCCAAGAGCTTCTGCGCCCTTGCGAGCGATGCTTGGAAGGCTACGGTCAGGGGGGCTTTTGGCTAAGAGTGTCACGGCGCCGGGTCTGGCCCACCACGCTTCGTCGCGGCACGCTAACCACTGCCCAATTCCCAAGGGCCAGCTCCCGAGCCTTCCCCGCGTCCTGCCCCGCGGAGCGGGGCGACACGCTATCCGCTCGCAGGGTACAGCGTGCCGCCGTTGCCGCCGCCGCGACACGCTAAGCAACAGTTCGCACCGTATTCGAATGTTGAAGTCGTTTCGGAAGTGTCTGGTGTCCCAGCGGCCACGCAAAAACGCCCGAGGCGCCCAGAGATTCTGGCAGACTGGAGGTCTGAATCTGGGGCTGCGCACAGGCAGCCCCCCCAGGTATAGTCCCGGCTGGCCCCAACATGCCCCCGAGTTGTCCAGGGCGGTCTTGACACCCTGGCGCCGCCTCTGGCGGCGCCCCTGGGGCGCTCCGCGCCCCAGAGTTGAGGTGTTGAGAACGCCTCGGACTGTTCGGGAGGCCTGCTGAGGCCAGCTAGGACTCCTTGGGGGCCTGTCGGTGCGCAACCCGAATCCTTACCATTCTGAACCTTGAAGAATCCCACACGATTTCTGACACTCACATTTGCACGAGCCTCGAGGGCAGTGTACTACGTGCTCAAGGCACGGTTGCTGATCTAGAGGGCTGGTGTGATTCCAGACGCGACTCGCTGGATCCACGATTAGGGGGAGCAGGTTGACAACATCGTGTTTTTTCATACCAACATTTGTGATTAGTTGGACTGTCAGGCTTTGGAAGTCGACCCTCTGAGATCCAATCGGGGCGATAGCGCCGCAGGTTGAAACGTCCGTCGCGCTCTAGCCGATGGCGCAGGTGTGTGCTCTCCCCATGGAAGTCATTGCGCAGCTGAGAGCAATCGTCGTCATGTCGACGAGTTCTGACCCTGGCGACGCAGGAGATGTCGATCAAGCAGCTCGCGGAGGCGATCGACGCGCTGAAGGCGGAGATCGTCGAGATGCAGGCCTCCCTCCAGCTGGCTGCTGCTGCTGATGCTGATGCTGATGCTGATGCTGATGTTGATGCTGCTGCTGCTGCTGCTGCTGATGATGATGATGATGATGATGATGATGATGATGATGATGCTGCTGCTGATGATGATGATGATGATGACGATGCTGCTGCTGATGATGATGATGATGATACTGATGATGCTGATGATGATGACGATGATGGTGATTCTGATGATGATGATGACGATGATGATGATGATGCTGATGATGATGATGATGATGATGATGATGATGATGATGATGATGATGATGATGATGATGATGATGATGATCCTCCTCTCTCGACCAATATGTATATATACACATAGCAGAGTGAAGGGGTTGCCGAACGGTCTTACTCTGTCCATGTGCGTGCGTTGGAGTCGTGCACTTGGGTCTCCCTGGACCACACGAGGGGCCATACGAGGGGACCATACGAGGGGACCATACGGGGGGACCACACGGGGGGACCATACGAGGGGACCATCCGAGGGGGCCACACGAGGCAACCGTACGAGGGGACCATACGACGGGACCATCCGAGGGGACCATACGGAGGGGACCACACGGGGGGACCATACGAGGGGACCTTCCGCGAGGGGACCATGCAAGGGGAGACCATACGGGGGGGAGCATACGAGGGGACCTTACAAGGGGACCATACGGAAAGTCCATACGGGAGGACTACACGAGGGGACCAGACAAGCGGACAGGACGATGGGACCGCAGGGACGACCACGTGCGCATAACCCTCATCATTTCGGCTCGAGGCTTCGCGCGCGAGTCGCCGCGGCGCCCTGCATGGCCCCGAAGGGGAAAGCGAAGGCCAAAGCAGAGCCTCGCACTGCCCGCGTGCGACGCGTGGCTGCTGCTGGCGCTTCACCAGGCCTGGCTCGCAGCATCCCCGAGCGCCGAGCCGCGCAGCGGGTCCGCCCTGGCGCGTGCCGCGAGTGCCCTCGTTGCCCAGACCCCCGACGTCATGATTTTTTCACGACGCCGACCCCCAGAGGTCTGGACCCCTTCCCCGGGGCTGGTTTCTCATCGCATCGCATCGCATCGCCGGCGGCACGAGAGCTGGCCTTCCATCCCGAGTCGTCCTCTGACGGTCCCCGGGGCCCGGCGAGGGCCGCCGAGGGCTGAAAATAGGGCAGCACAACCGCCCGCCGTGATCTTCGCACGACGCGGGGGGGGTCTGGGCGTGGCGCTGCCTCCCGCCTCCTGCCTGGCTCCTCCCTGCGTGGTGCCTCCCGCCTCGGTGCAGCTGGCCCCTGCGCGAGGCAGGCTCCTCCCGTCTCCCGCCTGCTGTCTATCAGCGAGCGAAGAACGGTATAACATAAACTTTCCGCCGTCGGGGACACCTGCCCCTGGGCGGCTGAAAAGTTTATGCCCCTACTGTGCCACCGTAAGGGTATAAACTTTCCAGCCGCGCTGTGGGTGGCCGGGGCGACGTCCGTCCCTCCCCGGCGGACCCGGGCGGAAACGCCTGCACGCGCGCTGCCTGCGATCGGGGCGGCAAAGGGGGGGGTGATGACCAGGGTCGACTTCAAGTAAGAGTGACCTTTCGCCGGAGTGACCTTTGGTGCGGGTCCAATGGGGTCCCCGATCGCCGAATGCGATGCGGTAGTAGCGTCTTGCGCGCTTGTGTTTGGTCCCCCCGCGGCCCCCAAAAAGCCGCGCACCAAAGGTCCCTCATACCCAGGGTCACTCTTGCGTGAAGTCGATAGGGGGGGTGGATCTCATGGCGGGGGCAATGATATTTCCCCAGAATTCACAGCGCCTCTTCCTATTTCAGTGCGTCCCCGGCCCCCCCCTGGGCCGCGCACATGCCGCCGACCACGATTTGCGCCGCCCCCCTCTTGGACGCCCCCCGCTTGGCCGACCCCGATACGACGTGCTCGCTTTCTTCGAGCGGGAGCGGATGGCCAGGCGCGTCGAGAACTCAGGCGACCGCAAACATGGATCATGGGTCCCCCGGCGCTGCCCAGCCCCAGCGCAGCTCCCCTCGGCAGTAGGATTTGGCTGCTTGCTCCGCTCGCGCGCCGGCAAATAGGGTACTCGCGGCCCGTGTTACTCTACCGACGCTTTTGGCGCGCTTGTCTCTTGCTGCGAAAAAAAGAAGTATCCCACCAGCCCATTCAGAAGCCCTGCCCACGAGAGCTGACGGGAAAATGGACGAAGGGACACATCCAGGGAAACAAAGCGAGCAACCAGGATGAACCGAGAGATATCTGGGAGCAAGGGGGTGGCCTTGGAAGGCCTCTTCGGGCCATCCTCGGGAGCCGCGTGGGGGCGAGGGGAAGAGGAGGAGGAGGAGGAGGAGGAAGAGGAGGAGGAGGAGGAGGAGGAGGAGGAGGAGGGTAGGAGGAATAGGAGGAGGAGGAGGGGAGGAGGGAGGAGGAGGAGGAGGAGGAGGAGGAGGAGGAGGAGGAGGAGGAGGAGGGAGGAGGAGGAGGAGGAGGAGGAGGAGGAGGGAGGAGGAGGGAGGAGGAGGAGGAGGAGGAGGAGGAGGAGGAGGAGGAGGAGGAGGAGGAGGAGGAGGAGGAGGCCTCTTGGGCGCCTCTTGGGGCACTCTTAGGGCCTCCTGGGAGCTTCCTGGGGCCTCTTGGAGGGTTTTTGGGGGCCTTTGGGGGCTTCTTTGGGGCCTCTTTGGCCGTCTTAGGGCATTCCTGGCTTGTCTGACGCCGTCGGAAGCCGCCTTGGGGGCTTGTCTGGGTCGTCTTGGGGCCCTCTTGGAGCATAGCAGGGGTTCTTAGAGGCCATCTTGGGCGTCTTGTGGAGGCCTCTTGGGCCGTTTTGGGGCCCTCTTGGGGCTGTCTTGGGGCTGTCTTGGGGGCCTTTTGGGCCGTCATGGGGCCATCTTGGAGGCCTCTTTTTTGCGATCTTGGGGGCCTCTTGCGCCGTCTTGTGCCGTCGGAATGCAAGAAGCAAATGCCACAATGTTTCCAAAACCTTATGATAATCAATGATTCTGGCCACTTCGTGCCCTCCTGGAAGACCTCCTGGACGCCTTTTGGGCTGTCTTGGAGGCCTCGTGGGGGCCTCTTGGGCCGTCTTGCGCCATCTTCAGGCCATCTTAGGCAGTCTTGGGTGCATCTTGGGCCGTCTTGGAGGCATCTTGGGGCCATCTTAGCCGCCTTGGAGGCCATTTTGGCCGTCTTGGAGGCCTCTTGGGCCCTCTTGGGGCTGTCTTGGGGGCCTCTTGGGCCTTCATGGGGCCATCTTGGAGGCCTCGTGGGCGATGTTGGGGGCCTCTTGGGCCGTCGGAATGCCGAAAAGAAGCAAATGCCAAAATCTTTCAAACACCGGAGGAACATCAATGATTCTGGCATCTTCGGGCCCTCCTGGAGGCCCTCTTGGAGGCCTCTTCGGCTGTCTTGGAGGCCTCTTGGGGGCTTCTTGGGCCGTCTTAGGCCATCTGGAGGCCTTCTCAGGCAGCCTCGGGTGCATCTTGGACCGTCTTGGAATCATCTTGGGGCCATCTTAGCCGTCTTCGAGGCCATTTTGGCCGTCTTGGAGGCCTCTGGGGCCGTCTTGGGGCCCTCTTGGGGCCGTCTTGGGGCTCTCTTGGGGCCCTCTTGGGAGCCCTGGAAGGCCTCTTGGGGCCATCTTGAAGGCCATCGATCAAAGGAGGAGCTGGGATAACGTTCGGCCCTCCCCCCCAAAGAGGCCAACATGTGGTCAAAACAATCGTAAAACCTGATTTGGGCGCCCAGAGGGCTGGTGGGATGACGTTTCCCCCCCAAAGAGGCCAAAATGGGGCCAAAACCTTAATAAAACCAATGAATGTGGCGCCCAGAGGGCTGGTGGGGCTGGTGGGGCTGGTGGGACCAATGATTTTGGCTTCCTCGCCGAGGCCGTTTTGGACGCCCTGACACCTCGCGGGGGGTCCCCGAAAAAGTTCAGGGCAGGGGCAAGGGGAGGGGTAAACCCCTCCCCGTAGGGGAAGAGTTTTTTTTTTGGGGGGGGGGAAGAGGGAAGAGGGTCTCGTTAGACCACCTGTCGCCCAAAGGGCTGGCGGGATTATGTGTGCTTGTGTGTGTGCTTGTGTGTGCTTGTGTTTGTGTGTGTGTGTGTGTGTGTGTGTGTGTGTGTGTCAGCGGCTCGCTTCCGTGCCGCTCCCCTTTTGTCGGCCGCTCTCTCTGCCTCTCCTCCCCTCCTGCATGGTGGCACAGTTCGCTACAACCCCAGTCATGATCGCGCTGTGAAAAAAAACAGGACGGCCAGTTTTTTGGCTATTTTCGGCCCCTGGGGCCCTCGCTGGTCCCCAGGACTCTCAGAAAACGACTCAGGATGAAAAACGGGTCCCGGGGAAATGGTTTGGATTTCCAGGGACGCCGCATTGAAAAAATCAGGGCGTCACATGTCTGGGACGGTACCCCCGTGTAGATAGCCCTCCGCCAGCGCAGTTACCCTGCCTAGCCGCCGACGCGCCAAAAAGGTTATGCGTGGGTGTGCGCCGCGACGCGGCCCTGGCTGGCCCAGGTAGCGCCGGCCCGGGCTGGCGCGTTCTGGGGCTGGGAGGGTCGGGGTGGCGATGGGGACGCGGAGGGAGGTGCCGTCGATGCCCCCCGTCGATGCCCCCCCTCCCGTGGAGGCCCTTCGCCTTCTCCATCTCCACTCCTGCACGTCGAGCGGCCATGGGCCGCGGCCCCCCCCCGCGCGCAGCCCCCCGCCAGGTGCAGCTGAAGCGTGCCGGCGAGGACCGCGAGAAAGAGAACAGGATCTTCCAGACCGTGGTGCCCGCCCTCGGGCCCGGGGCGGGGTGTGCAGGCCGCCCAGGCGGGGTCCGAGCAGGTCGGGGCGGAGGATCGCGCGGCATCGCCGATGCATCGGCGGCGTGGCTCGATGTGGAGGGTGAGGCACGGGGAGGCCGAACCGATTTTTTCCAGAGCATTGAGTGCCGCGACGGGGCAGAGCAGAAGTGAGAGTGAAGAAAGAACGCAGGTCGACAAACCAAATGAAGGCGGCAGCGAGATGGTGAGATACGCGGGAACGCTGCGCCCCGCGTTCTGACTGCGCGTTTCTTTGCGTCGATGGCATGGGCCCGAAAACGCTGGAAATCGTCGTTGTGACCACAGCCGAGCTTACAGCGGTGCTCGTGGTTAATCCGCGACTAGAACATAAGCGCGTGCGTAGCGCTCGCGAAGTTTTATGTATGTATGTATGTGTGTATGTATATATGTATGTATGTATGTATGTATGTATGTATGTATGTATGTATGTATGTATGCATGTATGTATGTATGTATGTATGTATGTATGCATGTGTGTAGGTACGTATGTAGGTATGTGTATGTATGTATTTGTGCATGTGTGTATGTATGTATGTATGTATGTATGTATGTATGTATGTATGTATGTATGTATGTATGTATGTATGTATGTATGTATGTATGTATGTATGTATGTATGTATGTATGTATGTTTGTTTATTTGTATGCATGCATGCCTGCATGCATGCATGCATGCATGCATGTATGTATGTATGTATGTATGTATGTTTATATGTATATTTATATGTATGTTTGTATGTATGTATGAATACGGTGAAGACGCTATTCCCGGTGAAGCCGCTATTCGGGGTGAAGACGCTATTCCCGGTGAAGACGCTTTTCCTGGTGAAGACGCTATTCCCGGTGAAGACGCTATTCCTTGTGAAGACGCGTTCTGCGGACACAGACAGCACTTTCCCTGTGAAGACGCTATTCCCTATGAAAATGCTATTCCGGGTGAAACGCTATTCTCGGTGAAGGCGCTATTACCTGTGAAGACGCTATTCTCGTTGAAGGCGCTATTCCCTTTGAAGACGCTATTCCGGGTGAAGACGCTATTCCCGGTGAAGACGCTTTTCCCGGTGAAGACGCTATTCCTTGTGAAGACGCTATTCCCGGTGAAGACGCTATTCCAGCTGAAGACGCTATTCCCTGTGAAGACACCATTCCCGGTGAGGGCGCTATTCCCGGTGAAGACGCTATTCTTTGTGAAGACGCTAGTTCCCGGTGAAGACGCTAGTTCCGGTGAAGACGCTATTCCTGGTGAAGACGCTATTCCGGATGAAGACGCTATTTCATGTGAAGACGCTATCCCGGGTGAAGACGCTATTCCCGGTGAAGGCGCTAGTCCTTGTGAAGACGCTATTCCCGGTGAAGACGTTCTTCCCGGTGAAAACGCTATTCTCTGTGAAGACGCTATTCCCCGTGACGACGCTATTCCGGGTGAAGACGCTATTCCCTGTGAAGATGCTCCTTCTTTTCACCAGGCCCAGTATTCAACGTGCTCCCCTCCCAATTGTAATTTGAAAGTGACATTTTACTCTACGCTTCCCGTGCCCAACACAACGCGCGCCCCATTTGCTGTGCGACACCTTTTGCTAGGCAATACCCCTCCCCAAGTTGATCAAACAAAACCCTTGGTGCTAGACGTGCCCCATCTGCTGTGCAACACCCTCTTCTGGGCAAGACCCCTACCGGAGGACCCCAAAAAGAATATTTGGTGCTCGACGTGCCCCAACTGCTGTGCGGCACCCTCTGTTAGGCAGGATTTCTCCCCAAATGGATAAAACAAACCCGTTATGTTAGACCTGCCCCATGTGCTGCGCGGCGCCCTTTGCTAGGCAAGACCCCTCCCCAAGTTGATTTGAAAAGAATCCTTGGTGTTAGGCGTGCCCCATCTGTTCTGCGGCACCCTCTGCTAGGCAATACCCTTCCCCAAGTTGATTAAAACAAATCCTTGGTGCTAGGCGTGCCCCACCTGCTGTGCGGCACCCTCTGCTAGGCAAGGCCCACCCCCAACTTGATCACAAATGCCCATTTGGTGCTCGACGTGCACCATTTGCAGTGTGGCACATTTTGCTAGTCAATGGCCCTCCTCAAGTTGTGTTAAAGAGAATCCTTGCTGCTTGACGTGCCCCATCTGCTGCGCGGCACCCTCTGCTAGGCAAGACCCCTCCCCAAGTTGATTAAAAAAGAATCCTTGGTGCTAGACGTGCTCCATCTGCTGTGTGGCACCCTTTGTTGGGCAAAGGCCCTGCCCAAGTTAATAAAACAAATCCTTGGTGCTAGACGTGCCCCACCTGCTGTGCGGCACCTTCTGCTAGGCAAGATCCCTCCCCAAGTTGATTAATCTAAGAATCCTTGGTGTTAGGCGTGCCCCACCTGTTCTGCGGCACCCTCTGCTAGGCAATACCCTTCCCCAAGTTGATTAAAACAAATCCTTGGTGCTAGATGTGCCCCTTTGCTGTGCGGCACCCTCTCCAAGGTGAGCCCCTTTGCTGCGGGGCACCTTCTGCTGGGCAAGACCCCTCCCCAAGTTGATTAAACAAGAATCCTTGGTGCTAGACGTGCTCCATCTGCTGTGTGGCACCCTTTGCTAGGCAAGACGCCAAGTTGATTAAAAAAGAACCCTTGGTGCTTGACGTGCCCCATCTGCTGTGCGGCACCCTCTGCTAGGCACGACCCCTCCCCAAGTTGATTACAAAAGAATCATTGGTGCTAGGCGTGCCCCACCTGCTGTGCGGCACCTTCTGCAAGGCAAGATCCCTCCCCAAGTTGAGAACAAAAAAGAATCCTTGGTGCTAGATGTGACCTTTCGCTGTGCGGCACCCTCTCCAAGGTGAGCCCCTTTGCTGCGCGGCACCCTCTGCTAGGCAAGACCCCTCCCCAAGTTAATTTAGACATAATCCCTGGTGCTAGACATGCCTTTTGCTGTGCGGCACCCAATGCTAGGCAAGACCCCTCGCCAAGCTGATTAAAAAACGAATCCTTGGTGCTAGACGTGCCCCATCTGCTGTGTGGCACCCTCTGATAGGCAAGAGCCCTCCCCAAGTTGATAGAACAAATAATCATTGGTGCTAGGCGTGCCCCACCTGCTGTGCGGCACCTTCTGCTCAAGACCCCTCCAAGTTGATTCAAGAAGAATCCGAAGAGGCCCCAAAACGGCCCCCGAGGAGGCTTCAAAACAGCTTCAAGAGCCCGACGAGAAACCTCCCAAGAGACCCCCAAACGAACATCCAGGAGGCCATGGACCCGCAACCCAGCCCCATCGGGCGGCGGCGGCCGGCGGCGGCGGGGGCGGCCGACGAGAAACAGGTTTCTCGTCGGGCTCTTGGATGCTGTTTTGAAGCCTAGGGGGCGTGTTGGGGCCTCTTAGGGCCTCGTTTGATCTTCTTGTGGGCCTCATGGGGCCTCCTGGGTGTTTCTCGAGACCTCCCGGGACCTCCTTGAGGCGGAATGCCCCTGGAGCCCGCAGGATGGATCCGTTGGAAGCGTGTCACCTGTGCGGCGCGGTCCGGGTGGCTTCACAATCGTTGTGTTTATCGTACGTGCCTATAGATTGGTCCTCTCCTGGGGCTTCCTGGGGCCTCCTGGGGCTTCCTGGGGCCTCCTGGAGCTTCCTGCGGCTTTCTGGAGCTTCCTGGAGTCTCCTGGAGCCTCCTGGGGCCTCCCGGGACTCCCCGGGGCTTCCTGGCACCTTCTGGTGCCTTCTTGGGTTGTCTTGGCCCCTCCCGGTGCCTCCTGGAGCTGTCTTGGCCCTCTCCCGGGGCGCGAATCCTTTGTGTTAAACGTATGTGCCAATAGATTGGCCTTCTCTTGGGGCACGAATCCATTGTGTTTCACGTATGTGACTATAGAGTTGCCTATTCTCTTGGGGCACGAATGTTTAGTGTTTGACGTGCGTGCTTATATACATTGGCCGTATCCTTGAGCGCGAATCCTTAGCGTGGTACGTGACGCCTAGAGATTTGCCTTTTTGGGGGGCGCGAGTCTTTTGTGTTTTACACATGTGCGTATAGGTTGGCCCTCTCCTGGGGCACGAGTCCTTTGTGTTTCACGTGTATGCCTATAGATTGGCCCTTTTCCAGGGGCACGAATCTTTTGTGTTTTGCGTATTTGCTTATAGATTTGCCTTCCCCTGGGGCACGAGCCCTGCGTGTTTTACGTATGCGCCTATGGATTTGCCCTCTCCTGGGGCACGAACCCTTCGTGCTTTACGTATGTGCCTATACAATCGCCCTCTCCTGGAGTACGAATCCTGCGTGTCTTACGTGTGTGTGTGTGTGTGTGTGTGTGTGTGTGTGTGTGTGTGTGTGTGTGTGTGTGTATATAGATTGACCTTCCCCTGGGGCACGAATCCTCTTAGTGTTTGACGTATGTGCCACTAGATCGGCCTTCTCCTGGAGCACGAATCCTCTTAGTGTTTGACGTATGTGCCTATAGATTGACCCTCTGTCCTAGGGCGCGAAGCTTTCGTGCTTCACGTGCGTGCTGATAAAGTGGCCGTATCATGGGAGACGAATCCTTAGCGTGATTGGCCTTCTCCTGGGGCACGATCCCTTTCCAGGGGCACGAATCTTTCGCGTTTTACGTATTTGCTTATAGATTTTTGGCCTTCCCCTGGGGCACGATCCCTTTCCAGGGGCACGAATCTTTTGCGTTTTACGCATTTGCTTATAGATTTGCCTTCCCCTGGGGCACGAACCCTGCGAGGCGTCACGAGCTTCACCGGGCGTCAGGGGAATAGAGGCTTCAGGCCGAATAAAGGCTTCACGAGCGTAGCCCCAGAGGGAGCTCCACCGAAGGCCCCAGTGGGGGTGCCCGCATGCGGTTCCCCCACCCAGGGCAGCGTTTCGTGGCCCTACAGGGAGCTCCACCGAAGGCCCCAGTGGGGCTGCCTGCATGCGGTTCCCCCACCCAGGGCAGCGTTTCGTAGCCCCATAGGGAGCACCACCGAAGGCCCC